CCAAGATGGATACTTTCTGAACTCTCTGAGACAACTCAGAGCTCTAGTCCAATCCCTAGTATCCCACAGTACAGTATGAAAGCATTGCATTGTGGGAAGCTTGGCCAGCATGTAAAGGTTTGATATATTGGACACATTTAAGGGTATAATTATTATTATTATACAGGATTTATATAGCGCCAACAGTTTGCTCAGCACTTTACAAAATGAAGGCAGACATTTCAGTTACAATACAATTTGGTACAAGAGGAAACAGAGGGCCCTGCTTGTTAGAGCTTACAATCTAGGAGGTATAGGCAAGCACCCTTTGGTTGGAGGATACTAGAGGTTCAAGATGGGAGGTTGGATATGATATGATCATATAGTTACTCTTGTAAAACCATTGCCCTGTTTTTCTAGAGAGTGTGTCTAAGGCAGATAGTAAATCTACAAATTTAACCTAGGTACGCATTAATTTGAAAATAATTTAGGGTTCATTTACATGTGTGTGGTATATTAATGCACATGCATTGATGCGCATTATGCCACACGTTAACATGCCCTGCATCAGGTCCACCCACTGAAATCAATAAGCTTCCAGTGCACAAAAAACATCTCAATTATTGGACATATCAAATATCATGTTGCCATGTGTTGCAATGCAGTGCGATGGGATGCTATTCAAAATAATAGCACAAATGGGTAAACACATGTAATGAATGTTGTGGTAATGCGTGTGTTGCCACAACATATGGATGTAGACTGGCCCTAAATATATTTTTTAAACACAGACAGTAGAAAGCACACGAGCCATTCCTTTAATTTGGTTTCCCTGGCTCCTTGAGAGTTAGAGAATTCATCCTCACTTCCTGTTCTGGTGACAACAATGAGAGTCTATCTAAGAAGCCACAAACAGCAATAAAAACTGGCAGAGGTTGTATCTTTTTACTACTCTAGCAATAAAATAAACTAAAAGGCTGCTGATACCCTTTAATGTAATGTGTTTTAAGGTACCTCTAAGGGTACATGGATCACAAGCCTGGCTGAGCAGAATCACCAATTCTCTGGAAAGTAAAATAGGTCACAAACAATTGTTAGCAGCTCACCCAGCTTTCTGCTTTAGGACTAGGATGCGTTTTACTAAAAGTGAGTAACATATGTAGACAAGTTTTACAAACAGTGCTGACAGCCCAGCATTTCTCGAGAAGGGAAAAGCTCCAGCGTTAGCACAATTACAGGCGCACATATGCTTTGGCAAATTGTATTTAGAATCTACAGCTGTGCTAAGTCTCTTAATTTAATTCCTTTATTAGATTACTTGTTTTATATTTAAACTTGAGCTGGTACGATGAAAAAGATGAGGTTGACAATTCCTAAAGGGGCTATTAAAGTAAATACAAATGAGCCACAGAAGTTTACCCTGCAGCAAAACGGGGTTAGTGATCACTTCCATTTAAAGCAAACCTATACTACCCCATAGGTATAGAAACAGCCTTGCTAGGATGCCTGAAATATTCAGCTATCCAAGAGAAAATGCTGCATCAGATTCCCTCCGGTGCGGCTTACCTAACCCAACATCTGATTTTCTCATTAACATCTGGTTATGTGATCTCTGTTGTAGAGGAGGATAAGAAGGAGGGATGACTGGCTGTTTCTCCCTTTTCAGCAGAGATCAAGTAGGCTTTTGATCGTATAGTCAGCACTGGAGGGAGCCAGAGCAGTATTTCCTCTAGGATGAATAGTTCAGCTGTCTTAATTCTGTTACTGTATTAATAACAGCAAACTATTACTGTGCTCATAAAAAAAAGCCACTGCTGTTCAGGGATGCAGCATGATCCACTCCTTCCCAGCTCCTCCAACAGCCTCGTTGAGACATCTCACAGGGCATAGAGCAGGGAGCTGAGTGTAATCTGAAACTTGAGTGGAGGGAATGAACACACCCCACTCTACAAAGTCTCATAGGGAAACATAGGCAACATAGGTAAGCCATAATCATCACAATGATGACAAATCACGGCTTGGACTATCTTGCTTTGCATGTAATGAGTCTATCTCATATATTAGTTTCACTTTTTAAGTTGCATTACTGAAATAAATGAACTTTTGCACGATATTCTAATTTTTCGAGCTTCATCTGTATTAGTGTGTAGTTAGTGGCTGTCCAGATGGGGGAGAGGATTAAGCTATTCCCAAAGCTTTTTTCTAAGTCCTGCCCCCACTCAGTACCCGATAAATACCAGGGCCGGAGGCTGGCTAGAGGTGCTCATCGCATGGGACAGGAGGGAAGACTGCTGCCAAGATTTGATTGGTGATCCCTACCTGTGTCATCCCAAAGGAATGCCTCACCTGGAACTCTACCTCTAAAGCACTCTTATGTACTAAGGAATGCACTGGGCAGCCATATTAGATAGGTAGGGAAAGGAATGTTCTGTTGTCCAATGCTGCTGTATTGAATTGTTGATCTTCAGTAAAATCTGTATATGAAGGTTTATGGCGCATCTAAAAAGAACATGGCCTGTAAGTACACACGAGGGTGAAGTGGAAGAACTAGAGGGCCACCAAAAGGGGTTAACTCAGTGGAGGGGTTAGCAGGAAGTGTACAGTTGCAATGGGTAACCATGAACTGGTGGGAATGTAATAGCAGCCAGACAGCGCAGAATGGTACCAGGCATGGATGATGGGTCCTCTGGTTAGCCAGAGCATCGTTGCACTAGTGGCCAGTTTGGCCTTTCCACAACCTTGAAGTTCTATGATTAGGTAGACCTGAAGTAACTTTACAAGTCCGTTTCTGATGTGCCACAATATACAGCAACAGTATAATTTTATTCAAAAAAAGCTCTGCCTTCTATCACTATAAAACAGACCTTGGCCTTCAGTACAGTGACTTTGCCTAAGCTGAGATGAAGTCATCAACAGCTGCAGGTAGAAGGAATCGTCTCCTCTACCCCAGTGATCTGGGTAACCTTTGAGCCAGGGTTTGATCTGGGTCAGAGATTTGTGAACACAACCAAAAACTGCAGAGGCACCAGAATTTACATGTTATCTCTGGGCTGGCATCTCAGTCCAGAAAGTAGATGTTGACCCTGAATGATCCCTAAACACTTAGCATACGTGCACTTAAAATGAAAAAAACGTATATGATGTTAAATCCACTTTAATGCTCGATAGATCATATAATCAAATGATATACAACATATTTTATCCAGAGGTATTGATTTACACAAACTCAGTATGTAATGTATCACTTACATTGGGCCCATAATAAGGACTGTGACGAAAAGTCTTGCCAGGTAAATAGAACAACATAATTTAGGCTTATTAGTGGGTAAATATTCAGAAAATAAGCAGAACTGAATTTGAAAAGCAAACAAAAAAGTATCCATGCTGTTAAAGCCAACTTGTCATGGAACTAAAAAAATATTCAAAGCCAGAATAATGATTAGAAGACATCGTAAGGTGCCTGGGCTTACTTTTAATTGGTCCCCTCACCTCCTGCAGAGAGCCACTGGAGCGCCAGAAAACTTGATGCCAAATCTGACTTACGGAACAGATTGCATACACATATAAGTGCTCATATTGGCCCTCACATGGCAGTACTTGGGTCTTGTGGGAGAAGAGTGGGGGGTACATTCTTCCCTTTAGAGACAAGCTCAGGTTTTTGGGGCTCTAGCAGCCGCCTTTGGGAGGGGTTAAGGTGACCAATTAAAAGTATGCCAGGGCTCCCTATGGTGTCTTATTCATTACTAGTTTTTAACCTATCAGCATATCTTTGGAGTGTGGGAGGAAATGGCAGTACGCGGAGGAAACCCACGCAGGCACAGGAAGAGCATGCAAACTCCAGGCAGGTGGTACCGTGGTTGGGATCCGAACCAATGACCTAGTACTGCCAGGCGGAAGTGCTAACCATTATATATGCCAGGATGGGAGAAGCGTAGTGTAGTATATGCATGGGAGGCAAACACCCTGTGTAGTCAGCACAAACAAAGGCCCTAAATAGGGCAGAAGTCCCTGGGTCCTTCTAATACCCAGAAGAGCCGGCTGTAATCATCCTGTCTCACTAAACATGGTCTAAGTGAACCGGGTGTGGGAATGCAAAATACCTTTTAGGCCACCAGTATTCTCTGGGAAGTGTACCAATCTCCCTGGAACTTCCAGTGACACCTAGAGGTGCAGCTACAGCAGTACTGTCTCTGGAACAGCATGACAGGAGTCGTGAGTTGGATGCATGAAGCCTAATGGGTAAGTAAGAGCCACTTTAGTGAGTACTAATGGCCCAGGGGAGTGAGACAGAGTGACGGCAGGGAGCTGAATTCCAACACAGTGGAGAGGAGAGGAAAATCAGGGAAGATGGATTAACAGGGATGTGTAATGCGTGGCTTTCACATGTGCCTGCTGCTGACCGTCCACTATATGGGATTGGTGAAGTATGCCAAGTGACTCCGGATAGTATGTCCATGTGTTGTGATGTTTCACTGTCATCTTTCAAGTGCTACAGTAAAGTGTGGGAAGTATAATTTTGTGTGGACATTCCTTTCTTTTGAATATAAAGCCAGGGATGTCATGGGAAGGCCTGTGGCCTGTTGGGCACAGTATGATGAAGGCTATCACACTACCAGCAGCGGGTTGTTATCCAAGAAGAAGCAAGGTGGGGACTTTAGCAGTTGGCGCCCTCAAACATAGCCAATCAGGGCCCCTTTACACTTTTTCCTTGCAACCATTGCAATAATATCCCCCCAGCCCACTGTTTTTGTTTCCACTCAATTCTGCAGAGAGCTTGGGGTCAAATTATAAATATCCCCCTCAATAGGGTTGGTCTCTGCACACGTAAAGTGGTACTGGAGTTGCATTCTCTCTCTAATCAAGGAATTTTAATATTATATATCAGGATTTTATAGGGCGACACTGATAGAGCATCCATGGCTCGAATTTCTGCTAAATCAAGAGGAACCGAATGGAATTCAAGCTGTGGATGGTTCAACCCTGCTCTCTACTGAACTGTAAAACAATTTTAGACACCCTACCAGGGGCGGACTGACAACTCATGGGGCCCCCGGGCAATAGGGGCTCATGGGGCCCCTGTGTCCTTGCCCAAACTCAAAAAAGCCTATGAAAAAGGTACCAGGGGCATCTCATGGGGCCCCCTACCGACCCCGGGCCCTCAGGCAGTTTCCAAATGGTCAGTCCGCCCCTGCACCCTACACAACTGATGTAATAGTAATTTGGAGAAAGGTCCTTCAAAGAAATTGGCAGTAGAGCAAGATCTTCAATACATGAAGCAGTTTATTGGCACATCTGGTTAAAATTAAACAAAACAGAAAACTGACGTGTTTCGGACACACTGGCCTTAGTCATAGCAATGACTAAAGCCAATGTGGCCGAAACACACATCAGTGTGTTTCTTTTGTTGGATTTTAACCAGATGTGCCAATACATTGCTTCATGTATTGAAGGACAGCCTTGCTGATAATTTCTTTGAAGGACTTGTTACTGGATGGCCGACCAGGGTACAACAATTTTGGACACCCTGCACAACTGATGTAATAGTAAAGTGGAGATAAGTACTTCGATGATATCAGAAACAGGGCAAGTACTTTATTACATGAAGCAATTTAGTGGCACATCTGGTTAAAATTCAACAAAACAGACACATTGATGCATTTCAGCCACACTGGCCTTAGTCATAGCAATGACTAAAGCCAGTGTAGTTGAAACCTGTCAGTATGTCCGTTTTTTGGATTTTAACCAGATGTGCCATTAAAAAGCTTCATGTATTGCAAGTCTTGCCTTGTTGCTGATTTCTTTGAAGGACTTGTTACTGGATGGCCAACAGGGGCACTAATTCGAGCACCATCATCTCTACCTGTGCATTGGGTGGAGAAGTTGAGCACAGTCAGTCTTTGGTTTAAAATGGAGATAAGACTATGAAAATGGAGGTTATTAGCTCACAGTTTATTTCTGTGACATCAACTGGGCTATAATGCTAGCCAGTCAACTGAGGAAGCAGACGTTTGGCACAAGACAGTCTATTGGAGTCTATTTAAAAAAAGAAAACTCATTGGACGAATGTCCTGAATATTTGCCCAGCCATCTCAAATTCTGACCTCTTACCACCCACTGTGGCAAAGTGGGTGGGCTTTAACACCCACATGCTCAACCTGCTCTGAGCACAGAGATCAAGCTGTCACATACAGCTCTGGGTCTCTTGTAAAGATTGGCTACCTGCAGGACTGGCTTCTGGTCATGAAACCAGAATGAGAGCCAATCAGTGGTCACATTATCAGGAAGACCTTCCTCCTCACCCCCATATAAACCCAGGTAAAGGGGGCTGGCCAGGAAAAGGTTAAAAACAGTGATTTCCTATCATCGTCAGCTCCATCTAGTGGCCATATTGCAGTATTTTTCCTGATTGAAGTATTTCTGGAAAAATGCCTCATTGTGGAGTTGATGAGTAGAGGAAATTATTTAACTGCTTCCGAGCCGCCCTATAACAGAAATACTGCTGTAGGGTGGTACGAGTGCACAAAATCACATATATATACACATATATATAGCAGAGTCATACAAAGCAGTGTGCTTACAGAGAAGCACACATATAGCCCCCATAGTAAAACAGCACACAGGTAACCCTTTGATCACCCCAGATGTTAACCCCTTCCTGCCCAGTGCCATTAATATAGTCAATGCTTTTTTTTAGCACTGATCACTGTATTTGTGTCACTGGGGATGTCAGTGACATCAAGTCAGTTCCCTCCAGTGTCAGAATGCCCATGACAGTTCTGCAGTCCAGATATAAGTCGCTGATTGCCGCCATTACTAGTAAAAAAATTTTAAAAATCCCAGTATATATACCGCCATTTGTAAATGCTATCACAAACCAATTAATTTACACGTATTGGGATTTTTTTTAGCAAAGACATGTAGATGTATACTCACAAACCAATGGAAATTAAAAGCAATTTGGTAGTCTGCAAAGACAGTCAATAAGGCTGTGCCCATAATAGGGATATGTTGACGCGTTTCGAGAGACGAACCCCCTTCCTCAGAGCTAAAAAACCTTTAGCAAAGACATGTAGCAGAATACATTTTGGCCTAAATGTATGACGAAATTAAGGTTTTTTTTTTGCTGGACATGTTTGCAAAAAGTCAAAAATATTGTTTTTTTTCCTCACAATCTGGTCTTTTTTTTGTTCCTAGCGCAAAAAATTTAAATCGCAGAGGCGATCAAATACCACCAAAAGAAAGCTCTATTTGTGGGAAAAAAGGGAGTAAATTTAATTTGGGTGCAGCATTGCATGACCGTGCAATTGTGAGTTAAAATACCGCAGTGCCCTATCGCTGGTTAGGGGGGTAAATCCTCTGGAGGGCAAGTGGTTAAAGAAATGTATTAAGAAAAATACAGTTAGAATCTCTCATGGCTGGGCAAATCCTTGAGACAGGAGATGATCTGCCATAGCCATCTGAATTTTTATTGCTCTAGTAGTCTATGTTTTGTATGACAGCTTCAGATGCCTAATTTAACTGAAAATGCCATTGTTCCAGTTCTGGAACAGCTGTGACATTTCAGCATCCATCAGACACCGCACTGAACACAAAGGAAAGTTTGACCACTGACGATGCACTTTTGTCGGTGCCAGTCCGCGGAAAGGTGACACCGCGTCTGACCGATCCTGCCCAGACTGCACTTTCTCCCAAAGCTGCTGATCACAATGAAGATTCGGAGATATGTAGAAGAAGTATCCAAGCTGACACTGCCAAGAGAAAGGCTGACAGCAGAGACACATCGCCGCGCACATCACTGACAGCTGAAGACTTGGAAGGAAAATGAAGTCTAATAGAAAAAGCAGGAGGATGTTTTTACAATAAGGAGTTCCCGAAATCATTAAATGCAAAGAACAAACATTTGCCCTTATGTCCTTGGAATGGAAGAGCAAGGGACATGCAGGCCAGGTTCTTGTCCCCATCACAAAATATGTCAGACTCTTGTGAAGATGGTTGGGACGTGGGCAGTTGATATACTAAAGGCAAATAAGCTGTTGACTTTGCAGGGCAAATTACACTTTGCAAGGGAACTTTCTCAAGAGCTTTGCCATTAGTAAATAAACCCCATACCTTCATGCCTCAGCAATGTCTAATAACATCCAGGCCAGGGGCGGACTGACCATTTGGAAACTCGGGCACTGCCCGAGGGCCCGGGGTCAGTAGGGGGCCCCATGAGATGCCCCTGGTACCTTTTTCATAGGCTTTTTTGAGTGTGGGCAAGGACACAGGGGCCCCATGATCCCCTATTGCCCAGGGGCCCCATGAGTTGTCAGTCCGCCCCTGATAGAGACTGCACTGGCAACATGCTTTACATAAGTACAATATTTATATAAAAATAGTCCTTGCAGACCCTGGCTCTGTGTAGAGTATTATGCTTTGGGTGCAATCAGCAACCCTCTTCCCTTGGAGCACTAGTACTTGTGGCAGACAATCCAAAATAGGATGACTGAGGAAAAAAAAAGTTATTTAATAAAAGTTTTCAGTGATAAAGAAATAATGCCTTGTGTACTAAAATTGTAACCAATGTTAGAAGAGATGTTGCAGATTAGAAAATGGTGGTCTACCCTAGAAACTACATTTACTGAGTAGTTTAATCATAACCAAAGCAGGTGAACAAAAAGCAGACAAGAGCGCACTCTCATCATGCATTACCGTGGTACACCAGGTATTTATTGTGTAGACAAATAGATGTATATTCACAAACCAATGGAAATTAAAAGCAATTTGGTAGTCCGCAAAGACAGTCAATAAGGCTGTGCCCTTAATAGGGATATTCTGACGCGTTTCGGGAAACGAACCCCCTTCCTCAGAGCTAAAAAACCTTTGGATAACCAAAGCAGGTGTTGACAGGATCACTAAGCTATTCATTACAGATATCTAATCTTTTTTGGGTGTAGTTTAGACATTCTAAATGCAGGATAGACAGGGCCGTGCTACCCATGAGGCCAACTGAGGCACCCGCCCTAGACAGCATTCATGAAGGCACAGTGGTGGGTGGCACTGAAGATGGATTGGTCTTACTGGACTCCATCCTCAGTGTATGGTGAGCTGCAGTGTTATTGGTTGTTATGGTTCAGGCGCCCACCTACACCATAATAACCAAGGACACTGTGCAGCCCAGCTGCAGGCATCCTAGTAACCAAAGATGCTGTGTGGTTGTCAGCTTCCTAATAACCAACGATGCTGTGCATCTGCCAATGTCTTACAAATCAATGATGTTGTGCGGCCATCAGCATCCTAGTAACCAATTATGTTGTCCAGCCCCTAGCTTTCTAGCAACCAATGATGCTGTGCATATGCTGTCATCCTACCAACTCATGACACTGTGTGGCTGCCAGTACCCTAGCAACCAAAGATGCTGTGCAGCCATCAGCATTCTATCAACCAAGGATGCTGTGCGGCCATCAGCATTCTGTCAACCGAAGATGTTGTCCAGCTACCAGCATCCTAGAAACCTATTATTCTCTGCTGCCATCCCTAGTGTGACCCTTACCTATTCAAAATCATACTGTAGAGGGTTGGAGGAAATGTGCTACTTTTTTTTCGACCAGGTATAGAATACTAGTTACTGCTGTTTCCAGGTGGGGTTCTTCAAGAGGGATGTCTAATATTCCCAAGAGGTCAATTTTGCATTCAGGGGAGCATGGAAAGCATGGTTAATCATGTCAGACACTTCTTGCTAGTAGAGAATCAACTTTGGACACCTCCAGAACATGTCAATAAGATCTCCCTGTCCTGAAGTGCATCTAAGACATAATCTTTAGTCTCTACAGGAAAAACAATACATTCTTAAGGGGGTTCAATACACTGTACTTTGTGGAACAAAAATAACTGTGTAGGCCTCAGGTTGGGGGATGCTGAAATCTGAGGAGGCCTTTGTAGTGCATCAAGGCACTGTTCATCTGACAGGGATAACAGAATTCTTCTTTAAAGGGCAGCTCCTCTTCAAACTGAAACACTTGGACTGGGGAAGTCAAAGTGTTTGTAGACCTTAGATTGTGTCCCTGGACAGGTGCACACTGTCTGATAGAAGTTTATCTATGTTCTGAGTAGAACTCTCTTATCTATGACCAGCCACTACCAAATGGTGGAAGAAACCATTCCCAAACATCTTTTCC